AATCCGTTGAAACGACAGGGTATCCTAAAACCTCCCCCTTTCCTCGAATCATCCACCCTAGAATAAATGGAAGACCTTCATCGTTTTCCCGAGAAAATTCAAGGAAAAATCGAAAATCAAAGATGCAGCACGGGTTCAAGAGAGTAAGCACCAAGGATGAGGTGGACCTGGAGGCAGGGCAGACCCTCTACCCCGGTCTGAGCCACGGCGAGAACCAGCTCCGATGGGGGTTCATCCGGAAGGTCTATGGCATCCTCGCCGCACAGATCCTCCTCACCACCGTCGTGTCTGCCACCGTCGTTTTCAGCGCTCCGGTTAACGATCTCCTCCGCGACAATTCTGGGGTTTTGCTTTTCCTTTGTTTCCTCCCCTTTATCTGTAAGTCTTCTTCTTGATCTGTTTGTTTTCTTCTGCTGTTGAGGTGGTTAATCAATCTCTAGGGTTTAGAATTAGCCTTTGATTTGAATTTGTTGCATATTGTTTCTCAAGAACGTGATTTTATGTACACATTCTATCTGTTCTCTCTTATCTAATTTGGTTTCCCTTTCTTCATGCCTGGATTTAGATGATTAATGTATGAAAGTTTTGATTTTTTTTCCCCCCTTATTGTGGGGGTGGGAGAGTTTGTGGATCAGGAGTGGCAAGCCCTTAAAATCCTAAATTTCATATGATCCCATTATATTTTTGGCATTTTCTGTTTATTTTTTTATTGCGGATTAGCAAATCTTAATTGTTTCTTTCTGAGGATGATTTTCACTTTCTGGATCCACACAGCTGCTAGTCTAATTAGTTGGATACCAATTTTACCTGTGATAATACCAATTTTATTGTAATTGATATGTCTTATTATTGTATCTGTTATTATAGTATGATGATTTGTACTTAATTGTTTAATAAATTGCAGTGATTTGGCCCTTACATATCTATCACCAAAAGCACCCGGTGAACTTGATCATCCTTGGTCTTTTTACTGCATCGCTAAGTCTTACGGTTGGTGTAAGCTGTGCTAATACAGATGGTATGTATCATTTTATGTCCTTTAGATGTTTCATATGCAAGTTGTTGACAAGTTGAAGCTGGTGGTAAGTTTCTGGAATTCGTATCTGACTGTTCTTTTCCATGGGGTGCTCTCAGGAAGAATTGTGCTTGAAGCACTGATTTTGACCTCGGCCGTGGTTTCATCTCTTACTGGTTACACCTTCTGGGCCTCTAAGAAGGGCAAGGATTTCAGCTTTCTTGCTCCAATTTTATTCACTGGCCTCATGATTCTCATCCTTACCAGCTTTATCCAGGTGAGATGTTTAACCACCTTCGTTGGTAGTTTTAGTTGAGATTTTAACATGCTTAAAAGTTTTATTTGGAGTACATCTCTATTTAGCACCCGGGCTATTAGTTGAGAGTCAACAGGTTTATGGGTGATATATACATTATATATACTCAACTTGCTACATTTTGTCTTGTGATACAGATGTTCTTCCCTCTTGGCCCAACTTCTGTCGCTGTCTATGGTGGAATCAGTGCTTTGATTTTCTGTGGGTACATAGTTTACGACACTGACAACTTGATCAAACGCTTTACATACGATGACTATATATTGGCCTCCGCCATTCTCTACTTGGACATCCTGAACCTGTTCATTTCCATTTTGCGGGTACTCAGATCAGCAGATAATTAGTTGAAGATACTTTGCTGATGCAGGGTTCGCATGAAATCAAGATGATGATTAAATTATCGTATTGAAAGTATGAAAACTACCATTAATAACGTAGTATATTTGTGTAGTCTTGTGCTGGCACTAAGTTCGCTTTTGCCAACGTTCAATTTGCATGTATCTAAAATTAAAGTTTGATTTGGTGAAATGGAGTGTTCTTTTATTTTTCTTTTCCTTTTATTTTTGAATGTTTAGAAATAATTGGCAATTTACAATTGGAATCATTCCTTACCCGGTGCTGCCCTTTTTCTACTTCAGATTCTTTCCCTCTAAATTGAAGTCACCAATTGAGGCATTGCTTGCCTTGTAGATTTTATTATTGCATTACAGTGTTCCTTCTTCCTTCGTGCTCCAAAATTTTCTATTGTTGTGAGTGGGACACCTGAGGTTTACAATTGTGATCCGCAAAGGTTGTTATGGATGATAATTGTGTAGAAATTATGCTTAAGTAGCAGTATCTTATTTCTCTTGGCTTCCTCCAATGTTAGCAGCAAAAAAGAAATTGAACGTCATTTAGATTGCATTTGAAATTGATATAAAGTGGTGTGATTGTGTCGTAACTATGATTAAAAATTATTTTGATGTTTGATTATTTATTTTTAAAAAATATTATAGATAAAATATAAAAATTTTTATTAATTATTAATTAAAATTTTAAAAATATTGTAAGATAAATAATTATTAAAATAAATAATATTTATTATTTTTTAATAATTTAAGTATTTTAAATTTGTTATGATTATTAAAATATTATAAATTATAACATAATTAAATAATATGAAATTGAGTTTTAATGAGTAATTTTATAATTATATTAAATATTAAATATACTTTTAAAAGCTATGGTTAAAAAGCTCTAAAATAATATTTCTAGTTTTATGTATAAAATTATTATAAATCTGTGATGATTTTTTATAAATTAAAAAAAAAATCTAAAAAACAATTATCAAATACATATTTATCTAGAAGCACCTAATGGCTGTACAAAAAAACTCTCAATCACAATTTCAAACACAACCTTAATCAGTTATTCTCAATTGCTATTACCACCTCTCCTAGATTTTAGTTTTTCTTTCCTCATTCTCACATATCAGAAGAAAATAAGTTAAATGATAGAATAACCATTCATGACTATTGGCTTTGGATATTCACTACATTATTACCCTTGTTCTTCCTTATATTCATGCAAAAACAACTGAAATGGAAATTACAGATCGTGAAAACATAAGAATAGGCATATCAGGATCAGCAAGTGTAAAATGAAAAACAGAATGGCAACAGATGTAGGGTCTGAATACCACAAAAGAATCCAGAAGAATAGATTTTGTAGAACTACTTTACATTTTACCAGATTTAACCAAAAAAATGTGACACAACATTAATCCATTAACTTGGAGAAGGTATTTAGACTGTAAAGTATAATGATAAGTAACCCTATACCACTTGTGAACAATCATCTTGATTGTAATTTGCAGGCAGAAATTGAATTTTATTAGTTACCAACCCTTAGGATTTTGGCTGCAGTGATGGCAAATATAATCAAGCTTTAACAAGATGATCATCATCAACATCATCAATATCCCAACTCAAATCCTCATCTTCCTCTGCAACACTAAGCCGCTTACGCAAATCAGCCCTACTTGTACTTCCAATAGCCTCCTCCTTATTCTCATCATTGCTCCCAATATCCTCAATCCGATCCCATCCAAGATCTTCCTCCTCAGGCATGGATGGCTGGCTTGACACCACTGAAACATCACTATCCTTGCTCGAATACTCACTAGTATCAGCCTTACCCTCCAATCCCACTTTCCCCTCACCATTATCTATTGATTTTTCAACATCTTCACTAGAGCCACTCTTCCTAGCATCCACGTTCCTACTCAGATTGCTTTTTGAAGGAGACCCATTACTCTCGTCATCATCCTCATCAAAATCCCAGCTCAAATCTTCCTCTTCCTCACCGGCAAGTGCCCTTTTCACAAGCTTTGCTCTAGCTTCCTCTGCTTGTTTTAACTTATGCACCCTATAAAAGTATCTACTCCAAAAATTATCACCATCAACTCTCTCAGGGACAACCTCCCTGTAAATGTCTCCTATTACCCGATTTTCAGTAAACAAAATCTCAATCTCCCCTCTTTTCTCTTCCAAATCAAACCCTGATTTCCACTTCTCATACTCCCCCAAATCATCCGGCTCCGAACAGTAGGTACTAGCATCACACTGAACAGTACGCAACTGCATATCAAAACGACTGTAACTTTTTTGATTATCCCCACTACTAGTACCAAATTGCTTATTAGTGCGTTCCCTGTAATCAAAACTAGAACTGGAATCAGATTCATCACGATCGGACAAGAGTGTTTCCCTACCCTGAGAAATTATCTGAGCCGTCGACTTCCAAACCGAGGTCCCAATATCATCGATGGCTTGCCCCACCGACTCGAGCTTCTCCTGCGCGACGGAAGCGCCGATCTCAAGCGACTCATTGACAGCACGCGAGGCAGCACCCCTGATCACAGCGGTCTCCTTCTTCAACCCGGAGCCGAACTCTTCGAAGTCCTTGCGGTAGGATTCCATCACGGACTCAGACTTGTCTGCCAGGGTCTTTATCAGGCCGCCGAAGCTCCAAGTGCTGTTGGAGTTTGGAATTTCATCGGCGGGCGGATCGGAGGACTGGGGGTCGTCGGAAAAGACGGACTTGAAAAAATTCATGACGATTGAAGAAAGCAACAATCTTGGAGGAACGTCTTGTGTTTGAATTAGGGTTTCTGAATATAGGGTTATCAGTTACGGGGGGAAGAAGAGAAGGAGAATTGGGAATTTATGGGAATTTTATCAGATCCAATCCAATTTGACAAAATTGGAAGGGCAGAGATCTATGAACGATGTATTCATAAGTCCTTAAAAAAATTCTTAGAATTAAATTCGTTTTCAATTAAATTTAAAATTGAGAATATATGAATAATAATTTAGAATAATAATTGAGAATTAAATTTATAATATATGAATAATAATTGAGAATATTTTAATAAAAAGAAGTAAAAATTAGTTTTTTTTATATTTTAAATATAAAAATTATATATAAAATTATTTAAATGCTTTTAATAAATTTTTTAAGTGATAATTTGATAAGGATATTTAAATTTTTATTATTACTGTCATGATAATATGATTTTTTCATCATTTTTGTTGTTTTTTATGCATAATTTTTTTAAGTAATTTTGTTTGATAAGGAAATATTTAGTTGTTGTTCATATCTTATAAAAAACATTAATTAAAAACACATGTAAAAATATTAGCTGATTTTTATTTTAAAATATATGGAAGACATATTAAGGGTACAAATTAAGAATACATTAATTGAATATTTAATTTTTACAAAAAATAAAAAAGTTTTTTATGGTTATAAAAAAATAAGAAAGTTTATTTTATTTTAAAAAATGTTTTTAAAATTTTAATTAAATAATTAATTAATTTAAAATTAATTTTTATTTTTTATGACGATTAATAAAATTAATTATACTGACAATCTGTCATTAGAAAAAACCCATTTTCTACCCTCATTAATAATGAAATAAAAAAAATGTCAATTTGGATTTCAAAAGGTATTTCTACCCTCATTAATGTTGTAATTTGAGGAGGCTTTTAATCTAAACTGATTTTTATCCACCCATCCTAACTGAAAAGAATATCTCTTAAATTTTAAATTGAATAACGAAATTAATTTTTTTTTAATAACAATAATCAGTACATTAAAATTTTTTAGTGATAAATATTTTGAGATTTTCTTCGAAAAGTATAAAAAATCAGAAATAATATATAATTTCCCATTCTTTACCAGGGGCCTTCCCAACCCAAGGCTACTGTTTAATGGTTGGTATAGCTGGAACTGCAAAATAATTTTTTTATAATTTTTTTTTTTTTTTGAATATGTTAACAAGGGATGAGATGGAACTCAAGTTCAAGAGGAAGAGAAGAGAGGAGTACACTTTTTTTTCAACGTGGTTAATACCACTAGGCCCAACTGGCCATTTGTAATTTTTTTTTATAATATTTTAGTTTTTACAACTTTCCTGATGATAAAGATTATACAACAGAGCACAAAAATTACATGTTGGTGTCATATCATCGCAAGATTCTTCCGAAAATATGTTAACTCATAGCAAAATTGAGACATAAATGATGGACCATTAACAAAGGGATGCTCAAAAATGGAAGGCTATAAACTAAATTTGATAGCATCACAAAAGATAGCCACACAGATTGTAGGGCTTACATCAACTGGAAAGGTTAATAATCAGGCAATCAGCTCTGTCCATTTCATTCATAATGGACAGCAAACGCAGAAGTTAATCATATAAAAGAATGGGCAAAGAGAAGAGCTTCATTTATAATTACAGCATCCCAGCAATGGTGCCACTTACCATGCAAAACTTGAATCTATCTCTGCATGATCAATTTGTCTGGAGCTTCTGCAATCCGAAGTACCTAGATGACACTGCTAACATGATTTCATGGGAGTGTAGTTTCCCACCATACCAGTACCTTAACGAGTGCAGTTTCTCACCATACTCCACTACCTTAAACAATCATTCAATGCAACTTCCTTGCCTTGTTGACACAGACTGTCATCACTCAGAATTAGGATGGGAAATACCAGCAATGAGGAGTTGACTAACGTGCAAGGTTTGGTAGTCGAGAGACCCTTTGAATTTCCTTCATAGTTAGTTCCTTGTCTTCGTCAAATTGCTCATCATCAGCTCCTGCAGAGAAGACATTTATTTTAAGTGTTGGAACAACAATTAGCAATGACGTGTATGAAATGCAGGTTCAGATGGAATTTTTTTGAAGTACAAGTGTATATACAGTGCCAGAGTGCATCAGTGTGGGAAATACGTCCCTGAAATGTCAAGTACCTTTTCCAGATAAATTCTGAAGCAAATCTAGCAATTTTTCATGGTTTTTGGCCAGAATAAGCTTTACTTCTCCTGGTTTGTTAGGGTTAGCAACAAAAACCTGCATGTGAAAAAACATATTTTCTTGGTGCTTGCCCATTAACAAGCGTAGATTATAACCATTGAGAGAGTGATTCGATCACCTTGAAAATATGGAAAGCAGAGATCTGAATGTTTTTGCTTGAATCCTGTTACAGAACAGCAATAGATTAACGAAAGTTCAATCACAGAATGGACATCTGAAAATACATTACTGTCAACTTTTAACCTGCCTCTTTTTTTTTTTTTTTCCTATTCTTTTCAACTGAGGTAAAATTTTATTTATCAACATAAGCCGTACACATCTATATAGACAAGAAACACTTGATCTCATAGATCAAGCTTACAAACTAAGGTATAAAACACAAAATGGAGATAGGCAAAACAATGGGGAATTAGCAAGAATAGAATTGCAAGTTCACGAATTCAATTACACATCAGAACCATCCAAGGACAATGTAAACACTAAAACAATCATACAAGGGAAGAAAGAAAAATCAATTAGACTATACCTTCAGCAACATCATCATAACCTTCAAGTACCGAACTTCTTGAATACAGCGTTTCATTATATTGGAATTTGGAGGCTCCAAAAGAAATTCGGATAAAAGCTAAATTCAGAAACATTTTGGCATTAACACTTTTTAACAAGAGAAAACAGCAGAACAGAACTGGAAATTATAGCCGGGGCTAACCTTTAATGATTGCCTTCTTGTCACATAATTAGAAGATGTCAATAGCTTTTCATATAGATCAAAGAACTGTTACAAGAGTTTCTCATTAGATTAGCTGAAAATGTCAATAGCTTTTCATATAGATCAAAGAACTGTTACAAGAGTTTCTCATTAGATTAGCTGAAAATAATAAAACGGAAAGTATACAGTCCAACAGGTTACAGAATTATATCAACAAAGATATCTCACTCGCTTCACCATGCATAGGCAGTGGAGTGTAAAAAAGAAAAACCTAGATTTCTTTCCAATAACATTTTGTTCTGAGTTGAATTTGCTTAGATCAGTACATTATTGCATCATATAAAGGATAATCCACAACTGTATAAGCATACCTCATCATAATGAGCAGTCAAATATTGTGAGACAATTGTTCCATGTTTAGTAAGTAAATCCTGTGAAATATTCATTTAGTTGTTGCTTAAGAAGCAAAGAGCCTGAAAACATAATAACTAATAAGTGAACATGATGAACCATTAAACATCATAAAATAATAGGTCTAACCTTAAATGTTGAGAATGCATCAGAAACAACATCAAAGTTCGGCAACTCCAGAAATTTGAAGAATAACACAAAGCTGGGAGACTCTAATATGTATCTGAAAAACACTACAAAATTAACCTGAGTGAAAAAAAGTGAAACTCGCTTTTTAAATAGAAATTCTGTGCGTGAAAAGCACAATTTCCAGAAAAGACAAATAAGTGTTATTATCAGTTTTCAGTCTTTTTTATTTTAAGTTGTGTGACAAATACATGGAATGCAAAACAGCTATTTTCAAATTTACCAACAGCAAAAAGTAGGAAAAAAAAAATTGTAATAAATCATGATGTCCTGAAGTCCTCCCAACTCCCTCATAAACTGCTTTAAACCTGACTTCTTTACAAAAGAGAAGGTTTATAATTCAGAAAATAAACCCTGCTTTTCATTTCAAATCTCTCATAAGATGCATTCGCTACAGGCAATGATCAATGAGTCTACAAAAGATAAAGCACAATTTGTACTTTGGATCTCATATTGGGCTAACTTACAATCATGTTCTACTTCTTCACTAAATCAATTCCTCCTAAAATCACCACACCCCGCAACCTTTTTCCCCTCATTTTTTCCTTATATATTAAGTTTGGCTTGAAATTTGGGTTTTGGGATATAGGCAACATCAAACATGATTACTCCACCATCGCAGAAGAGAAAAAGGAACCTTGTTGGCCCCTCAAAAAAATGGCATCTTCAATCTAGAAATAACAAAAAAACTATAAATAAGCATGAAAGAAATAGACAAAAAAAGGTCTGCATGTCTTACTTTGCAAGGGTTGGAAATTTGATGCACTCCCTCAACATATTTCCACAATTCAAAGCAATTTCCTTGTTATCATAGCTGCTTGCAAAACACAACAGCAAGTCTTTCACCACTTAATCTGAATGCTTAAAGATCCTTTTTTCTTTATTACCAGATTTCAGGATGCTACATAGAGATAGATCTACAGATACATTACCATACAACTAGAAAATCCAGCAACTCAAAATGTTTCTCAATATACTGTACACAACAATTTATGGAGTCAACTTTTTGCTTCAACAATATGGACCAACAGTGTACTAAATCCTTTCTTGCCTGAAAGAAAAAAAAAAAAAAAAATCACATTGTCATGCTGATTAAGAATGCCGAATAAGAGCCAGAACAATGAGAAATACAAACACTTACTTCCCAACCCAATATTGGCAACTTGTTAATAAAAAGATCTAGAACATCCTCCTTGCAAATTTCAACTGCCAGCTGCAAAACTTGATCCATATTTGGTTCAACCTCCCCATCTCCAGAGAGCATGCATCTCATGGTTGCAAAATTCTTTTCAACTTCTTCCATTGCCTAAGTGCATGTATACACTAAAGAGTCAATCAAAATTCCTAACTAACAATTTAGAAAAAGATTGGTGCACAAATAGCTCAAACATGACTTTAAGTCATAACTTAAACACTAATTTCTTCCTTGGATATGGCTGCATTTGTTCAGTAAAAGCTAATGATAACCAGTGGCATCATAGTGCAAGTTGAATTGCAAGTGATGGGAATGATATTTGGGGTAGAAAGCAGCTACATTTTTCATCTAAATTGAGAACTGAATGACATTACCTCTAAATCTAAATCGAAGCATAAGAAAAGCAAAATTAATACTATAAATCACTACCAAATGGGATAATTCCCAGAACCCATTTGATCCTTTCAGAATTATCACCAAATTCAGACCCACCCACATAACCCCAACCAAATGCCAACAGAAAATACAAAAAGAAAATTCACCCTTTTCACAGTTCATGAGATTGAAGACAATAGAAATTAACGAGCAGAACAGACCTTTTCAAGAGCTTTAACTTCTGCAACGGTTTTGGTATCAAGAGCCATTAGGCTATCCTTGATCGTCTTGGCCACGTCTTGCGGGGTTTTTGGCCTCAAGGGCTTGAAGAAGGAGAACGACATGACGATGGATCAAAATGGGAACACGATAGATGAATTGGGAAAGATTCTTTCTTGGGAAATTTTGATAATGAATTTTGGGGAAGGGAAGAGAACGAATCTGCAGAGAAGCAAAAGGCGTTTGCCTTGGTAGTGGCTCGCGCGCCTGGTCATTGTTCACAGACAGAATCAACGTCGTATTTCTCACCAAAACGACAGTACGGGAATTTCGAAAATTTTCGTTAAAAAACAATTAATTATGAGATTATTAAAAGGAAGAGAAGCGCCTACTTCTTCGGCTTGTACGCATTGGTAAAGTGATATCTGGATTATCAAATTTTAGTGCTAGTAGTATTTATAATTACAGTTTCTTCTTCCTAACAACGCTGAGTTTGTACCGTTTGATATATATATAAAATAATGAGCTTTTCTTTTCTTTTTTTGGTGAACTAGTATTTGGGTTCATTAATTGGAGTTTCAAGGTCTACTGTTACTTTAATAGTTCATCACCAAATCTTAAAGTACTTAGGTTGTTAGTTGAGATTTCGAGTCTCACTCTCACCTTTCCCTTTGTCACTCCAATTGTATTGAATTAGTACTAAATAAAAAAGAGCTTTCTCTTTAGTGAATCGGGTTTTCGAATTCAGATGGTTTGTCTTCAAACCTTAAAATATGTTTGGGCTCGTTGGTTAAGGTTTTAAGTTCCACCAT